CTGGACTATTGCAACCAAATGTTAAACTCATCAATTTCTCAGGATTTTTGCGTCTATTATTTAGGTCACATTGTATCATTTTGTATGTTGTTTCTTATTCTATGGTGCTGCTTATATTTCGTTTATTACGCTTCTTCCCAGTTTGGAATTTTGACTTGGGGAAGATTCAATTCTATATTTAAATTGAACCAATAAAACTTCCATGAATACGAAACTCTGTGGCCTCCAATAATTGAACTTTATTCAATAAAAAAATTTAATTCATATTATATTCTTGTCTGAGTTGGACATGTGATTCTTTTAAATGTTGTTTAAGTGTGACTATCTAATTTTGGTGGAAGTTATCTCTTTATATTGGTGTGATTCAAAAAAATTTATTTTTAATTTGGTGAACTATTTCCTTTATCAAGTTTCTTCTCAATAACTTGTTAGTTTTGCTAGAGTTCATAGTTTTGTTAAATTTGTGACATATAATGGAAAAATTACAAGTCTTGTTCATTTTTCTTGGTTATAATTCCTTATGGATTTATTCAAATTTTTTCCTTCACGTATATTTTTTTTATTTGGGTTTTAATTCTCTCTAGTAACCTTGCATATTTAGTGGTTTTGGATATATGCAAATACCAGGTTCACTTGCATGAGCTACATTTATTTCATCATTATAGTTTCATTAGGAATCAAACCCTAAATCATCTTTTTGATCAAATTGGTATTTGAGCTTATGATTGTATTGTTTGGCTATTTAAAAGTAAGGTATTTTAATGGGTCAATTAAAATATTTAATTAATTTTGCAATTTAAATGAACTGGGTTGGTGTGGCTCAGGCCAAAAACATGATTATCACCAGGTTCAAAATTGCATTACAATTTTCAGTTGGAGGTCTATGTTTAGTGAATTTTTAGGCGGATCAATAATTAGAATATTTCTTTGAATTATTTGATTAAAAAGAAATTAAAATTGCACAAACAGAAGCAGTGGAACATGCTTAATTATTTGGCAAATTGTTACATGTAAAATGAAAACAACACGGGTCAGTATAAAATATATGCCTAAAAAGCAATAGCAGCCACTCAGTGCATATTGGACCAATCTCAGATTCAATTTAGGATTTGTAGACGATATAATTCTAATGTGTTTGAATATTATGCAAGGTATAACGTCCAATTGCTACATAGGATTCACCTTTAAACTATTTGTTATTGCTGCTTGTTTCATTAAAGATTATAGACGAGAATTTAGGAAAAAAACTAATCAATAATTCATCTAAAACAACATTTGAGATTTTATCTGGATCTTTTGAGTATTAATGCATTGAGCGAGCTTTCTATTATACTTGTTATACCTATACTTATATGTAAATAAATTTCACTAACATCTCATTCAAAGTCTATGGAAAATATACTAATGTAAAAGGTCATGCATGATTGAATTTGATTTTCTCAAATAGATTTTATTTCATGAAAATTCTTTTGAAGATGCATTGGATACGTAATTTGGTTTGTAGTTGCATCCAATTTTATATCTCATATTTAAATTGAATATGCACCTATATTTTATATGAGAGTCGGTATGGAGCTTGATAAAAATTGAATACAATATCTTGCCTTAATCTAAATTTCTAATGGAAGCTTAATATATGCCTAGATGTGAAATGAATCAATCTTGCCAATTGTATTTGATGAATCAAAGGAGCAATCTGAGAATGCGACTCTTGATTATTGATTGACTTTCCTATTATGAATGATCGGATCGATATCCATTTTACTATTTATTTCTGGTTTCTTTATTTCCAAATTCATAAAGTGAACCTTATATACAAAATGAAGTTGTCAATTGTTAAAGATGAATACTTTAAAAAAAATTGAGATTTAAAACCCATTCTATCTGGCCAGGTCTTAAAATGCACTGTTCCTCACAAATAATTGTTAAGCCATTTAAATTATTTTTTAAGAAGGTTATTCAATTACATAGCCATATCATAATTATGTAAGTTGTTTGATTTCAGTTTCTTTAGCATCTTTTTTTTTTAAATGTAACATTCTCATTATTTGAATCATATATCTTGCATTATTTTAATGAGTGGCCCTGCTTGCTTGTGGGAATCACAAAAACTTGGCCAGTCACTATAATTATGTAATGATTTGCCAGATGACGCTAATGAGAGCAATTACCTAGATCTAGCATGCAATAAGTGGTATAACATAACCACTATGAAAATGTAGAACTGCATGGAAGCACATTCCCAAAGAAGAAACATAAATAAGGGTTATATAGTAGCTTGTTTGCTGGGCATTAATCTCTTTCTTGATAAAAAGGACCGAGACAAGCACAAGATTCAATTCCATCTACTGGCAAATCACTAGCTCGAGGCGGAGGCCGATGCGGATGCCGAGGCGGCGAACTGGCAGGCCGAGGCCGAGGCATAAGATCAATATCTATATATATATATATCCTTTTTTCTTTTTGATGAATTCCTGGATTTTTTTGTTCTTGTAGATATATTTTCAGTTTCCATGAAGCTTTTTTTTATATCTGTAAATGAATACATGCAATGCAATCTTCCTTGTGAGAAGAGGAGTTAATGGAATGGTGTAGTTCATGAAAGGGTGGAGGAGGCCGGGTCTCCAACCAATGACTTTATATGTCTAACACCTGAATCTATTCTGGATGATTGTGTCCACTTCTCACAAATTTCCTAATATCCCAAAATTTTATCCAAAGTTCCTTATCCTTTTCCTCCCAGAAAAATTTAACCTTTTAAATCTTAAAAATTTCACCATAAAATCTATCCAAATCCTACATATCTTATGGATCTGTTTTTAAGGAGTTGTGAATTTGTTAATTTTGTTACTTGTAGCAGGAAATTGTCTCTTTTCATTGGGCTTTTGATTTGGATACCTTTGAGTTACTGGAGAGTTGAGGTTTTAGGAAGTTGTAGGGATTGTGGGAGAATGCGTAGAAGAGTTGTAGAGGGGTTAGAGATGTCTTGAGATCAAAGAAGCAAGGATTTAGGGTTGGCCTAGCCTTATGTAGAGAAGATGAAAATTGTGTTAGGCTGGGGAAGTACAAGAGTTGGAAAAGTTAACTAAGGATGCACTAAAATCTTAGGATAATAGCCAACAAATTTCACCAAAGAGTAGGTCAACCATCAAGCCTTTTCACATGAAATTTGCACAAACAGAAGATAGTCCATCAAGCCTTTTCACATGAAATTTGCACAAACAGAAGATAGTTTTTATTCAACAAAAAATTAGGGTCATATGTAGGCTTTTGCAGGCCTAGCCAATTTTGGAAAACTTTAGGAACCAATAAAAATGCTATTACATGGATTGATAACCTCTCCTGATAAAAAGAAAAAAAAGGTAAGCAAATAATTATAAAATTTAAAGCTTCCAAAAGCAAGAAAATTTGGCTAAGCTAAATAAGACAAATAAAGTGATATTGACATCTGGCAATCAATGAAGATTTTTGTATGCTTAATTGATTTGACCGATCTACCCATCAAGGGATCTCAAATTATGTTTTTTTATTGTTCTCCAATACGTTTAGAGAAATGAAGAGTCATCTATAGGCTTGTTTGGAGACTTTAGCATGATAAATAACTTAAATCTTAATGCAGAGCCTTCATTTATGACATTGCCTATGATTTTATGTCGCCGTGTTATAAATTAATTCAAACTAGCTTGTACCTTCTTTGGCCCTTAAAAGTTCAACAACATATTTCAATACCTATAAAACTATCAAAATGTTTGGTTATTAAAATATGTTAAAAGCCAGCAAATACATGCAATAGCAATACGTTATTAGAAAACTGCTATAAACAAGTATACGATACATATTTATAATGCTTCTTCTTTCCAGGTTCTTGTTTCTTTACTTTCTCGCCTAGTATTGTTGATGCACTTTCTTTTATCACATTTTTCAGTTTAATGATTTTGTTCGAACTTTTCTCAAATATAGAGATCAGGTGTTCTTTCTATGTTTTTTTTATAGCTGAACATGAGCTGTGTCTTGATCTCCCCACTTATACTGTCTGATATTTTATGCCTTCTCAGGATTCCAAGTGTGCCATTCTTTGGGTGGCGGAACTGGATCTGGCATGGGAACCCTTCTCATCTCTAAGATGAGAGAGGAATACCCTGATCGCATGATGTTGACCTTTTCAGTTTTCCCATCTCCTAAAGTTTCGGACACCGTGGTGGAACCCTACAATGCTACCCTTTCTGTTCATCAACTCGTCGAGAATGCTGACGAATGCATGGTGTTGGATAATGAGGCCCTTTACGATATCTGCTTCCGCACTCTAAAGCTTGCAACTCCTTCCTGTGAGTTATTCTTCCCTTCAATTATCTTTTACTGTGCTTGCTACCAAATTCATCCTCAGTTTTCTTGATTCATGTTAAAGATTTCTACTGATTTACTCTTTTATAGGGAGGTTTGTTGGAGTTAAAACAAAATCATCTTGAACTTGAGCAATCTTCTAAACTTGAGTTTAGTCTTTTGGCATCAATTTACTTGTAGGAAAATTTACATATGTAGCGCACAATTCTTCATGTATTTAAATATTTCACATCTACACTTTTATATTTACATATATAGATGCATCAAAATGTGTATTTTACTTTTAAGAAGTGATAATAGTAATTTTTTTTTGTGTGATTTTTAAGCTTTGAATGCGCTATGTGTGTAGATATGAAATTCTCTGTGTAGACATGTAACTACATGTTAATTGTGTGCATGTATCATGCCTTATATTGGAATGAAATATAGAGAAGCATGAGCCTTTGGATTGAAATCCATATCCACTTAAAATTAGGTTTCTTTCACAATTGGAGTTTGGATAGACTTTCCATACAAGCCATGAACCGAGTCCTTCTTTTCTTCTTTCTCAGTTGGTGATCTGAACCACCTCATCTCTGCTACCATGAGTGGCGTTACTTGCTGCCTGAGATTCCCCGGCCAACTCAACTCTGACCTCCGCAAGCTCGCCGTCAACCTCATTCCGTTCCCCCGCCTTCATTTCTTCATGGTTGGCTTCGCCCCCCTGACCTCCAGAGGCTCCCAGCAGTATCGTTCCCTCACCGTTCCCGAACTAACCCAACAGATGTGGGACTCCAAAAACATGATGTGCGCCGCCGACCCTCGTCATGGCCGCTACCTCACTGCTTCCGCCATGTTCCGCGGCAAGATGAGCACGAAGGAGGTGGACGAACAGATGATGAACGTCCAGAACAAGAACTCCTCCTACTTCGTAGAGTGGATCCCAAACAATGTCAAGTCCAGCGTTTGTGACATCCCCCCGAAGGGACTCAAGATGGCATCCACGTTCGTCGGCAACTCAACCTCGATCCAGGAGATGTTCCGCCGCGTGAGCGAGCAGTTCACGGTGATGTTCAGGAGGAAGGCTTTCTTGCACTGGTATACGGGAGAGGGCATGGATGAGATGGAGTTCACCGAGGCTGAGAGCAACATGAATGACTTGGTGGCGGAATACCAGCAGTATCAGGATGCAACGGTTGATGATGAAGAGTACGAGGAAGACGATCTGGCCGAGGCCAACTGAGCTAATATTTCGTTTGCCGAGATTTAGGGTTACTCGTTAGTCTGTTGGCTTGCTTTCGGGTCCGGGTTTGGTTTCGTTGTGCTTATATTCTGCTCATCGTTGTATTTCTGTAATTTGGAATTTGTTAGTGTGCTTAAATTTGTTGGACTATTGGTGTTGATGTTTTGGTTTTAATAAACAGTGCTATTTTTGGAAAATATTATTAATGACTTTCTTGTGCTTGTGACATGGAGAGCTCGCCATCCATCTTCTCCGCTTTGATATTTATCAAAGTAGAAGTCTCTGTGGAGGGGAAAAAAATACTGATCTGTAGATGTATTGGGGATGTACAATCCTAATATGCATGTAATATTTTCTATTGTTGAGGTGATCCCTTCGCAAATAATGGAGATCTTGTTGTAGCTTATTTAGTAAACCCCTACATTACATAGCACCCGAAATATTTCTATTTACAAATTTTAGTACTCATGTGATATTTCAAACTATTGTGAATTTGACGAAAATGAAAAATATGGGTTGGATTTCATCATAAATTTTGATATTTGAGCGAGAATTTGAAAAATTGATGGAAGTTTGTGCTAGATTTGTAAATAGCAATGCTTCAGGCGCTAGGTTGTTGTGTGTGTAATTAATTGCCCCGATTAACAATTCAAAAGCGCAGACAGAGGAGGGTCGGTAAATGGGAAAATATTTGTGTACATAAGATGTACGCAGCGCTGCGTACGTCTAGGGGTTATTCAGGGGGTACAGAGGGGTTATATCGAGGCTATACCCCTCTTACACCATGTAACCTCTTTGTAAACTACCTGTAACCTACAAATGAGTTCCGCGCTTCTGTAATTTCATGGGTACGAATAAGTTACACAGAGATTACAAGGGAGTTACAGGGGGGGTATAGCCCGAATATAACCCCCCTGTACCCCTTGAATATCCTCTGTATGTCTTATGTACGCAAATATTTTCCCCGTAAATGAAGCTTAAAGATTGAATTTATAAACTCCTATTAAATCTACATTATAATTCAAAAACTCTAAAAATAATAATAATAATTATTATTATTATTAAATTTAAAACGGTATTTACTTTCTTCTTATAATTAAAATTTTCTTTTGAACATGACCGGCAATTTGCAAGACTCCGGCATGCGAAATATGATGGCACAGAAGCTCGCAAGGTGATTCGACCATTCAAATTTTCGTAATTTTTTTAAAAAAATGTTTTTTAAGGGTTTTTTTTTTTTAAAAAAAACTTGGTCCATTAATAAATTCAATTATACATATGTTAATTATATCGTCTATTATTTTAGTACAATTTTGTCAGTATCATCTCATTTCAGCCCTCTAATATTTGAATTCCTTTGAACCACCATATATTGTTTAAATGAAATCTCATTTTAATAATTAATTATGCAGTTACTATTAAACTTTATTATTTATTTATGTTTTCATGATATTATCAGAGTTTGTTTATAGGCTACAATACTTTCTGGATTGCATTTTTTTCTTTTTTACAATTACTATTTTAAATATATATGTATATAGATTGATTGTTCAATGCTGGGAACTAAATTTCACTAATTTATTTTACAATAAAATTTCAAATGTAACTAGAAAATATATGTATTTGTGTGCGCATGTGAGGAAATTTGACTTCATATGTTCAATAAAGTAGAATTTGCATAAGAAAAATTATTGCATCAATTTGCATCACGTGTCCAATTAAAATTGATCACATCAAAATGTGGGCCCCACTGAAATATAATGGTTGTTTTTTAAAAATGTGGGACTCATTCTAACGCATGCACAATTTTAATTAGAAACATGATGCAATATTTTTTCTCTTGTTGAATATTAACCAATCAATCATAAAAGTTTCTCAACCCTTCCTTTTTTTTTTCTCTTAAATTCTCTATTTTCAAAATGCAGGTTCATTCTTCTACAATATTTGATAGTAATGATCTTTTTATATTAATTGTATATAACTGTTTGGGATATTATTGACTTACTTTTTGTATGATTGAATATAATATTTGCACTTTAAATCCCAAATTTAGAATGTGGATGAATATAACATACCCAAATGATGGTACAATCTTGGACTTGATTGAATGATGGCCGAATATTTATTGAGTCTTCTTTAAATCATTTTCAAATAATGATAAAAAAATAGGCAGAATATGTTTGACCAGAAATTAGATACTCAAATTAAGCTTTTTTTATAGTCTAGCATATGGTGAGGAGCAAGAGATGGAGGAGGTGCTAGCCATTGACATAGCCTTTGATGTTATTGATCTTAAGGGTGAGGTGTAAAGGGAGGGAAAAGTGGGATACACAAGAGTTGAAGAAGAAGGCGGTGAAGGATGCCAAAAACTTTTATCTATCCCAACACAAACTAGCTGTGTTTTTATTAACGATGTAGCATCCCATCTATGGCGGTGCTTATAAGCATTGTTATATGTGTATATGAAAAATATGTCAGCATGAATCTCAAGACATATAAACAGCTCGGATGAAAGATGCAGTCGATCAAACGAGGGTTTGATGATATTTTGGGTTGGATGCTGACGAAGAAGGCTTCCAGTTCTAGCGATAGGAGGAATGTACTAGGGCTCGCAGGGCAGCGATCGACCCTCAGGACGATCGATAAGAAACATCCCTTTTGCGATAAGAGGAATGTGTAATTTTGTAGGACCTGAACACATTCCTATAAATAGAGCATTCTTGAATAAAGGTTACACATTTCTTATTGTTCTTTACTACTCTTTCTCTCTCTCTCTTTCTAACATTCTATTCATTGGGCGTGTCTGATTCAAAATATATAAAGATTTGACAGCGCTTATGTATTGTCGTAGCCTATGTAATCCAGTCTCAACTCACTGACACATATATTGCTTGCCTTCTCCTCTCCTCGGCCCAATTCACGATCGATCCCTCATCCATCGGTGCCAATCCCCTCTCTCCCTCTCCCGCCGTATCTCTTCCACCGCCGGCGTCGATCCCCTACCGTTTCTTGTAAGTGCTCCTACAACTTGAAAAAAAAAAGATAGCGAGAAGTCTTTTTTATAATTATTAAAGAGAAAACCACAAAAGAGCATGAATTTTTTGACCAAAAAATTTATATATTCGATAAAAATACAACATAAATTGATTTACTTATACTCCATTTATCATCTCTACCCATTTGATAAGGACCATATTTAATTTTTTCAAATCTTGAATATGAAGACTGGTTGATAATAAGACCAGTGGATTTGTTCGGTTGATAGAAAACTAGTCGGTCGTTCGTTGTGCCTTGAGTCCGCTGACAGTCAATCAAAAAATGAATGTTTCTTGTCGTGGGCCGATCGTCACACAACGAGAAATTTCCTATTACGTTTCTCCGATCACTAGCACCAGACGCCTCCTTCGCTGGTATCCAACTTGGACGATCGTCAAAAGCCTCCAACAATTTTATTATAATGTCAAGTGATAAATATTTTACTTCATTAAAAGCATGGTAAATTTGACTTTTTTATTTTATCTGATTTTTGTAGCATATTTGTAATAGTTCAATTTACATTGTATTAAAAAATCAATCTAAATGCTTTTGATGGTATTTGTATGTATTGGTAAAAAAAATATAAGTTTTAATAATAGATGCTCCAATATGTACATTAAGATGTATTTTAAAGTTATTTTGGCATTTGCATTATTTTTATATAAATATAAGTTTTATGACTTTCTTTTCATAATTTTTTAATCTATTGATTTTAAGATATAGAGATTTATAAAAACTTTACACATGCACCTACTTAATTTGGATGATTACAAATTACCCATGACACTTCTTTTAATTTAAATTCCATTAAATCCATTCCTTCATAAGCTTCATCTTGCCTTTTATTTTCATGAGGGAGAAATGAATAAAATGAAAGAAAGAAATGGAGTAATGAAGAAGAAGAGGGGGTTTATGATCTTGGTGCAATTTTTGTTCGATGAGTTAATTGAAATTTTGATGGACTCAAAGTACAAAAGTCAATGTACGTCTTTCATTAGCATCATGCTCCACTCTTGATGGTTTTCTAGTATCCCCTCATAAAATTATAAAGATTGTGTTGATCATTCGATGTTAATCAACCTCTAACATTCCTTTATCATTAATGACCATGTTTATCATCATTCAAATTTTATGTAATAAAAACATTAATATCTATCTTATTGGTTACTTGATCTACCATCCCAAACAATTAAATCAATTGCTTTTTGCCTACTAACATTTGATATTCATCAACTATAGTTTTTTAATGCTTTTTTTTGTTATAAGGTTTCTCATCCAGTAAAAAGGATAGTTGAGCTCATCACTTAAACATTCAAATTTCTCATTTGATTGTTGTCAAACTTATACCAATGTTTGTGGTCCGAAGTACTCCATTCACCGACATTAGAAGTCATTATTCTCAGTTGCTTATGGTTTCCTCCAATTAGGGGAATGGTCAAGTCAACAACTCGATGTCATCAAACATCCAATGCTCTCAATCAGTTTTCATGTGAAGCTTACCAATGCTCATCATATAACTAACACTGACCATTGATGTTGAATATTTAATGCCTCTATTTCAATTGCATACTCATCTCCCACTCAAATAAATACAACAACTGAGTTAATCATTAACATTACTCTACTTTTGATAGTCCTCATAGGTATTGTCAGTCAACCATTGGAAACTAATGATAAACATTTGACACTTATAATTTTGTTTTTCAATTTTTCTTTAATAAAGATAACAACTAAATTGACGACTTATATCAATGAACAATTTGCTTTGATAGATATTCTCTGTCATTTATCATTTTTATTTTTTAATGTAAATTCCTATAAGAATAATGGTGGGTTAACCACTTGATGTCATCCACCCTCTTACGTTAGTCATTAAAATCATTCAATTTATGACTTCTATCGGACTTCATTTTTTGAAGTTAAACTAGGATTTTCTTAGTCAAATTCTCTCTTATTATTAGGAGCGTGATAAGCCAAGTGCCCGATGTCACTAACCTCTAATATTCCTTATTAACTATCAAATCAAGTTTACCAATAATTGACTTCAAACACTCATTTCATATATTTTTTTAATCTCCCTTGTTATGGAGAAGACAGACAAACTGATTATCACTTTTATATAATCACATCTAAGACACGTGCATCTTATAATTAGAGAATGACGATTACTTAGAATATATGACTCATGAAAGCAAAATTATTTTAATTAAGACTAATGATTCCTCTCATTCTCTAAAAAAAAAATCATGTTAAAATACTTAACATCATAAAGTTACTTTCAAATTGATTAATCTTCATGCAAGATTTTTGTTCAACACTAACATGATAAACTTTATTTTATAAGAAAATCAACAAAATATTTTTTTTACACTTTAATAAATTACAATATATAATTATAATTTGTGTTTTTTTGTGAAGAAAATATTGAAGATTTACATACATATAAATTTTCTCTATACATGACATCAATAATTCATTTATACAAATGATATTGTCTTAATATCTTCAAAATCTATACATGACATTTTTATAATCTAAGTAAATTAATGACGGCAACATTTTTTTTTATGACAATACATAAAAAAGATAAATATTTAGACACACAAATACATAAGAATTAGTTAAATTACATTTAAATCCGAAAAACAAATTTATATTATGATAAGATGCCAAAACGTTTTTTCGAATGTTATTTGAGCCATTGAAGCAGATTGAATAGGGTTGTCAGTGAGGCAGGTGCCGTCTTCCCTTCCTCTCCTCCGACCAGGAAGAGGGCGGCGGGTAAAGAGATCGCAGTTGGACTCAGTGGTGGCCGCCGCGGTGCCATTACGTTGAGGTTCGTGAATGCTTTTGTATTATGGCATGTGCTGCATTTCGCATTCTTCTTGCTTGTGGAGGGGTTTTGATGGCGGCATTGCTGATTCTATAGCGGTGTTTTATAAGGGAATTGAATTTGGAGATAGTTTGAAGAAAGCGATCACCTCTGCAGTGTTTTTTTCCTTCACTTTTTTTTTTCAATTTTAAGATCTATCGGTGATTTTACCTGGAGCTGGGTGTTTGGGGTTTTTGTCCATTTGTTTTTTTTTATTTTTAGAGACTGCATTTGTTTGTTAAAGACATTTCTATTTTCCATTGCTTGTTTAAGGGCGATTAGCAGGTTAAAAAATTGATTTTGGTATGGCTTCGACAATTAAGCAATGTATATTCTGTCGTCATTGCTGATTTTTGCGAATGTGTAGTGCTAAGGATGGTGAACTGCACAAGAGAAACTCACCAAGGAAGAGGAGAAGCTTTAAACACTTTGTTTTTTTGTAACTGAGGGATAAGTCCTGGTTTAATGAATCCATTTGGATGCGAATGGCTCCACACACTATCCAATTTCAGGGGGTGTTTGGCTGCAGGCAGAATTTAGTAAACCCGGATTTATTAAATCCACCCCTTGCTGGATTTATTACATCATATTTAACATGCATCGAAGGCAAAATTGGGAATTTAAATCCGAAATTTTTTAAATCCACATAACTTGAGCATCTTTTATGTTTGGTTGGATTTCCTTAAGCCAGTGACAAATATTGTTATTAGGCGCTACGAAACACCTGCTGATCACATTCCCAATGGGTGTTGTAGATCTTGTGGTACTTGAAGGAGTGTGAAAAATTTGAGCGTTCAGGTAGAAATAATTGCAGTAATGTGATACTTATTTTTTCTTGAAGAAGGTTCAGTTGTCAACATAAAAACTAGAGAGGCTCAGGAGGATCCTACAGTGAAGGGATGGCTGATTTCCTCTAGGATTCTCCATTAAAAGCAGATAGCTCTATAACTCAGAAGGATCTCATTGTAGGGGCGTAATTTAGCTTCGAGAGGGCAAAGAGCCCCTCAATTGAATTAACGAAAATGATTGATTTGATTTCCTATGTATGCTTGGTCTATGACTTGTTTGCATAGTTAAAGTTTAGTAATATTGAAATTGGTTGTTGTTGTGACTCCGATTTTATCTTTAGTCTTGAGAGGGGGTTTATGATGAAGCTAAGTGAGCGGTTGTTGAACATCAAGATATAATTTTCAAATATCTTATTATGTTGGTTAAAATTTTGAAGAAATCAATCCAAAATTTTAAGGAAGTTAACAAACACTGATCCATACAAAGAAATGACACTAGTGTCACACATACATGTGAGCTTAATGTGAATGCACATTGGCAACATCTCATTTTTAATATGCTTTTTGCCCATGTTAATCTATGGGTCCCACTCTAAATAACCTGCCAACGTAGAATCTTACGACATCTTAATCTTTGCTCTTCATCATAATTGCGTACATATCCATAAATTTGATTTATCAACCAATCGTCTCGTGCAACCAACCTAGTTAGTCTTTTCCTTAATAGAGTCCTTAAGAGATTGGTCCAGAGCGAGTTTGTAGATAAATCAAAATTTGGGGATTGTTAATTTGTTGTGATACTTATCAATTTGACAGAAGGAGATATTTTAGTTTGTTCTAGATAACACCACTCAATTTCATCACTCACTTCCCTTTGGTCGGATTTTTCATTAGTAGCCGAACAATCAAACCCCATCAAAGCCGTTCAAAGCATTCAATCTAATTGATTAGGTTTTTTTCTTAAATTTGAATGGATTTATTTCTCGTCTTGGCACCGTAGTTGCTATTATTGTACACTCTAGCAATTGAGGAGAAGTTGAATGACTAAGTTCGCTCTTATTGGCAATTACTTTGCTACATAACACTTGGTTTATAACTTCTTGGTCTGCTGGGTAGGACCAACCAACCAAGTAGAGCTAAAATGATTGGTGCCTTGAAGGGAAATCTAGGTGGATCCCCACGCTCATAACTTTTATTGCGATCATCAAATCTTAGCTATTACAATTAGCAAGACCTTGATTATTACTCTTTTTTAGATGAGTTGATCATAAGAGGCAAATTTCTTGGTTTAACCTCAAGATTGATGAGATCTCCATGACAATTATGACAAAGAATACTTCAATTGGTTGCTTTGTTTCCTATTGGTGTTGATGCACTGATGTGATCTACGTGACTTCGGTTGGAGAAGTCGACATGGAAATGGGGCGGATGCACTGAAGTTGGTCCTTTTGGTGGAGTCGTCATGTCTCTTCTCTAGAAGTTAGTCCTAAGTCTAATTTAGCTGGTATGGTAGAGCTCACTGGATGTATTCCACTTCTTAATGACTCATCTTATCAATTGTCGGCTATGCATACAGTCCTCATGGGTGCAAAAATAGAGCATATATAACAAATTGGATCATGGTAGAATATTTTATTGAACATGTAACGAATGAAAGATTAATTCAAGGCTTTGTTAGGAGCCTCAAGATATTGCATACAAAAATAATCAAATTTTTAAGTAAATAAACCAAAACAAAAAAAAAAAATGTGTGCCTTCACAAGCATTGTTGTTGTAAAAATTATGCTTTTAATCCCCCCTCTTGGATTGATCTAAATCTTGCAGGCCTTCGCCCCCCAAAAAAAGAAGAAAGAAAAGAAAGAAAAAAAAAAAACTTCAACGCATCCACACCATTTCCATGTTGACTTTTTCAGCTTGGCCTCCTTTTATAGTCCCCGTGGAACAATATCCTCTTAGATCATTCAAAGATCTACTTGTCTCTTCATTGACTTTTTTAAGTTGGCCTGTCCTCCATTGCTTTATGATGTGTTGCTTAGTCCTCCAAGCCAATGTTCATTTCAATATAACCACATTCTTAAATTTTTTAAGTTGGCCTCTTTATTAACATTTCCAAGTTAGCCCTTTCGTAGAGCTTGCCTTCTCAAGATCTTGCTCGCTCAATAATTTAGATTTATTCAAGGTTGTTGCCTAAATTGCATGTTTATTAGTTCAGACTCTTTCTCAATCTCCTCAAGAATTGTGTCTTCTTGGTACTCCATACTCTTTTTTACTAGATTTTTTTGAGAGCCCATTAAATTTCTCTTAAGACACTCGATCAATTAGTACTCAAAAAAGCTTTTTATCAAGTATTGAAATTATGTTTTATCTGACACACATAAGTCTTAAAACTCTAAAGAAGATACATATATGCTATATACAACACTCAGTTGCACCTACAATAGCTCTTATCATGCTTGACATCCATTGTCATGATCTGACTTGATATAAACTACCACATCGAGGGTGTTGTTTCGTGATATGGCACCAAAGGTTAAAAGATTTACCTAAGGCCTATTGAAATGAGTTTTTTTTAATATTTATACTTACAGAGTTCTTTTATGCCATCAAATAAAAAATATATGAAAAGAAATTTTTTTTTTTATTCATATTACCAAACTATACAACAAAATGAGACATGTATAATAATCATGATATGATCTATCTCAACGAAAAATATATATTACCGTAATTTTCAAAATAATAAATTTATTATAATAAACACAAATGAGATCAGAGTATTCATAAGAACCAATAATTTCTATTCAATCCAAGTCTTAATTCAACCCGAGTCATGCCTTCTCTGAAATAATACACTTAAATAGATGAGAACAACAACAATTTAGTAATTTACCCGAAATCTATTATAATATTCTATACAATAAAAAAAAAATATTTTCTATGTTAATATAACATCACATGAGTAGTTAAATATGCTTCAAGCAAACAGATATGATACCTTAATATGTTATGTGTTATTTTATCAATTATAGCGTCCGTATGAAAATATGCCAATTTTTTTCTTGTATGAGCGTTTATTTTAACATTATATCAAGAATTAAATACAATAATAGAAAATAATATTTTAATTTTCTTAATATTTTTTCCATTTAACTTAATACCCCTACTTATTTTTATAATTTATGTTCAGTTTTACTTATATATTCAATTTTGTATGTCTGTTCATCTGCATCATATGTATAGATGAATAATTATGTAGAAGAACACACTTGTTTATCTCCTCTTTGAATTTATATTTAGAGGTATCTTACGATTCTCCAAGTATTGTATACTGTTGAAGGACTTTTCTAATTTCAATAACTAGCCTTCAACTTCTTGAAACTCCACTACTCTATTGAAATGGGCTAGTTTCTTGGAAGAGAAATTAGAGTTATTTATAGGCCCTATATGCTACAAGTAGTGCTAAGGCGGACAATAATGTGCAACACTATGGTTGGAACTTTCTAGTGATGTAGGTTGACTCATAAGGCGGCTAAGAGGAGATCAAGGACCAAATGTCGAGTAATGGATGGTTAGAAGATTGACTAGATGTTAGTTATTCTGGCTGCACGTGACATTAGAGCAACGGCTTTGAAGGAATTTACTTAGGACTAAGTTATATATAAATGATATATAATTGGGTAACTTTAGGTTAATTTAGTTTTTAATTTTCTGTTTATGTGCATTTTGTCGAGTTATTATATGTGTATATTTAGATGTGAGCATTAAGAAACTATGAATCCCAAAATCAAGATGTGACCAAGAAGCATGAGAAATGAATTCTTGTAGTTAGAAAAAGAGGAGTCCTTTTTTGCCCCCTTTCCTACTACTTTGATTATAAGCGAGATGGGCCTTCATTATATTCTTTTTATTTTATCTTTTATAGTGGACTCTCGCACATTACTGCCTCCTAGGCAAATGCTATAAAGATGAATCTTGTATATCTTGATCTTGAGCTTTGTATGCCATTTTTTTTTTATCCTCTTCACTCTCCAAGAACCCCATGCAGGATCCTCGTTTAATTTGCACACAATCTTTTCATATTTTATTGTCTCTCAAGCTAGGAAGTATCTCAGATCGAAGGGTTGCCCTTTTTTTCACAGTACATGATGCCATCCCGATACAAATCAAATTTCATTATTCACAGATACCATTCGCGAAGAAGTCGGTATATTACCGCATGATGGGTTTATTAAGGATGCTTGATATTTTGAGTGAATCTCAAATATAGTGTTGGTCTAAAAGCCAATGATAGATGGTCAATGTTTGTCAACTTCAAGAAGGTGAACAACACTTCTTTGAAGGATTAATGAACTCTCAAGCATCAACATTATTGTGAACTGAATGGTTGGCCACAACTCCTTGAACCTTCTGGATGCTTTCACAGGGTACCACCATATCAATATACATACAATTAATGGAGATGACTTGCCTTTTCATCGATGAAGGCATCTTTCGTTGTATGATCATGCCATTGGAATTTAACAATACGGACACCACATACTAAAGGTTGGTGGACAACATTTTATAACACTAGAAGGTGAGGACCAGTGAAGTATATACTTGTGATCGTTCGTAAAGAGTAAGGGTGCGTTTGAGGGCTTATTTACAGCGGCGGTCGTTTGAAAACGCCACTCGCTATTTGAAAAACACGTTTAACCGACTTTTTAAAATAAGTCGTCAATTTTACATTAGACGCGGATCGCAGGTAGGACTCTGCTATCCGCGTTTCATTCGAGCTGAAGACATCTCTCGCCCTTCGCACGGATCTCTCCACACCGCTCTCCTTCTCCTCCGCCTCCTCCTCTCGCACGGATCTCTCGCGATCCCTTCTCTCTCGCGACGAAAACATGAGTGGCAACGAAGGGGATCGCTCGACACCGCTCGCCTTCTCCTCTGCCTCCTCCTCTCATACGGATCTCTCGCGCTCCCTTCTCTCTCGCGACTAAAACCGGAGTGGCAACGAAGGGATTGCTCGTTACAGAGACCACCGAAACTCCCACCTTTCTCATCCTTCCGCACCGCTCCGACCAAGGTAAGTATCGTGACCTACCTCCTCTTGTTTCTGGTTCAAAGCTTCGTGCTGACCTCCAATGTTTTAACCCCTGTCCTGACCTCCAATTTTTCTAGGGAATAGATTAGGAAATACAACAATGGTTTTTGGTGCTTTGTTTCTGGTTTAAAGCTATCCATCCAATAATCTGAAACATTGGAATAGATTTTGCAATGCCGCAATACTTGTAGGTGCCTTGTTACAGTTCAAAGCTTTTCATCCAATGTTCTTGAGGCATTGGAATACATTTTTAAATGTCGTACGATTCGCTGGTGCCTTGTTTCCTATTCGAGGCTTTCCATCTAATTTTTATTTTGAGATGGTACAATAGTTGTTGGTTCCTTGTTTTAAGTTCAATGTTTTTTTTAAGAAGAATTTTAATTGTGAATCAACCAATTATCCATAACGAATTGATATTCGAGATTCACTTGCTACTTTTTGGAGATTGAATAGAGCTATTTTATTCATAGATTGATGTTAATGTTCTTGCTAATCTAAAGAATTTTGTTCATAAATAGAGCTAAACAGATTCACTTGCTACTTTCAATTTCTTCAGCTCCTCATGCATATATTCTTCTGTTTGACTTTACATTATTCTTAAATTTAAAGTAATTTATTTTACAATCTACAAAAAACTTCATATAAGTAGTTTTCCAAACGCACAAACCAAACAGCCAAATAACTTATCTAGAACAGGGGCAAAATGATCATTTATCCAGAATCAGTTGTTTTCGAAACGCACAAATCAAACAACTAGCTAGTTTATCAAGATAAACTGCTTATCAAGAGATTATCAGGATAAGCTGGATAAACTGCAACTACCCCCAAGCAGACCCTAAGTCTCCGGTGAGAAACTTAATTGCGTTGTTGGTGAAATTTAATATATTGAGGACGTTTAACATTAAGCTAAACCCTATGAAAGGCTTTGTTAGTGCCAACTTTCAAAAGTTTTTTGAACTCACTTATGACTTGACGTAGGTCTAAGTTCTATCTCTCTTGACTGCAATGAGTCTATGAAAGTTGTCGGAAGTTAACATTAATATTTTGATTCATTTTGTACGGATATGCGTTCTTATTTTATTTTTGGCTTGTTTTTCTCTCTTACTTGTGCATTTTTTGTTTATGTTTGATTCAAATATGTTAAGCATTCTCTTAGGATCCTCTAAAAAATTTTGTTGGACTTTTGTATCATTTCGTCAAGGGGTTACTGAGATGTGTGTTGGGCCATCCCAGCACACCGGGAATGTCATGATGTCCTTCCTACTCCCATGAAGAAAGATGGGTAGAGGTGGTATATAGCATCAAGCCAATTTCAATGTACTCACATCAAGGTTGGTAGGTATAGGTTCTAGTACTTTTTTGCAAGCATTAGTGATAAGCAAAACAAATATCACTATTAGGATTTTGAACATTTTAACAAAACTTCGATCACTTCCATGACGGGGCTAAAAAAAAAATTCGTTGGGCCATTACACTATACTAATAAAAACAAGTAAAATGCTGTGTACTAGGCAATCATTACATTTTCTTTTTCCATCCTAATCTTACCAAGAAATGTGGGTGTATGCGATGTATAGCATTGAGGCAAGATGCAGATTCATTAATGCTCAAAAAATGGCATGTGTGGGTTTTCAAATGCATTGCGTGGCCTCGGACAATTTATATAAAAAGGAAATGCATTTAAGTTGATTGAACCTCCCTCCAACTTGTTGATAAAAACATGCATGAGACCCCTATAACTTGATAATGACGAATCATAAGCTTTTAGCTTGTTAAGTAATGCATGTGTAGGTCTAGAAAAAAATTCCTCATTGTTAACAAAATAGTGATAAAGCAATATGGGTAGCCTTTCCACGACGTCAAGAAATACACGTGATTGATACTATTTGGCCTATATTTTGTAAGTGAGCATAACCAAAGTTAAAGAATAGCAATAATAAAATATTAATTTATGGGATATACCTCACTTGAATGCATATAATGCACCAAAATAAAAAAATAATAGAAATACTTCACCGCCTTCATGTTTTAAAAACATCTTAAACTAATACATTCAAAAAATCCAAAAATAAAACTCTCCCTTTTCTTTATGGCACAAAAGAGGCGGGGGCTTAGCTGCTCCACTGATGTACGACTAAACTCTACATGATGAAAATACTGCCTTGCTGCTTTTTGATTTTTCTCACGGGAACTTTATTGTTGAATTGTTGCTCTTGCAATCTTCAGTTTATGTGTCATTTGCTTCAAACTCAGGTTCTATTCATCTTGCAAACAAGAATCTTCATCTTCTTTTCAAAAAAAAAAAAAAAAAAAGAAAGATCTTTTATTGTTAAAATAGCAGTTAATTTATTAAACCGCACCTATGAATATTTTTCCTTTCTATATCTATCTTTTATTCATTCATGAAATAGCAAATTTGTTGCTCTGGCAATTGGTTTAAGGTCTTGATGCAGTTGAAACTAAATTGTTGTTGATTAATACATTGTTTAAGGTCTCGATGAAATGATATAGTTTTATCAGAACAAACATTTAATATGGCTCGAGGTTAACTAGAACCTTATTTATTGGGTTACATATTTTTATTCTCTATATCAAAGCCCTTCCCAAAGTTCCTATTGGAGGGGTGGTTGGTTTCTACATGAAGTATGCATGCCTGTATTGATTCTTCATGAAAATTATTTATATATACTGATTGAATTCTTGATTTTACAGCATATTTGCTTGCATGCTTGAACTTTTTTATTTGCTTCATTTAGTTTAGTACTTCAGTGCATGTCACAGTTCCATGCATGTTGTAACTTATTTTTTATTTGCTTTATGTAGTCTAGTGCATAAACCTCACTATGGTGGTAATGGAATTTTCGGTGGACTTAAACAAAGCCCTTGTTTTCCAGGTATTCTATTATGAGTACTTTTGCTTAGCTCTAACTCATTGTCTTCTACTACCAAAATTTTTTCTAATCCAGTATTGACATCTTATACTTAATGTAAATGAAGAGATTTAGAGAATTCATTTATTAAATCCAAACTAATTATGAATTAATGATGATGATGCAATGCTTTTATTTTCTATAGTTTAAGAAGCTTAATCAATGTTTCAACAAAATACCACATAATCAAAATGTGCCATTCTAATTATTGTATATATAAGAAAATCAATTTTTACTAAAAATAAATATAGACTGTATGTTCCAAAAATCTACGCTCTGGCCTTCCACAAAATGAATGATGAGAGAGAGTTTTATATTGAGTGTTATGGGTCAAATTTTTAGAGGGAGGATCACACAATAAATAAGACACAACTCATAGATTTCAACCTCAATTTTTGAGAACTTTCAAGATATGGGGGTCGAGGTTTCTCATAGATGCTGACCTTTATGGTTTATTATCTATTTCAATAGTGGGAGATCAATTTCACTTAAAGCTAGTCTTTAGATAGCTGACTGCTCTACATATAGCAGCAACAATTATATTTTTAGATTATGAAATTTATCATTGCAAACTTAGAGTGGATTTGGGGGAATGATGACGAACCCGGTCAAGCTCCCATGATTCTATTGTCCCGGGTTATCACAGTCTCTGATCTACTTAGTCAATAGAGGTAACAGACACAACTTAACAAAAGGATCCTTATCATTAGTCTTGTAGAGTTGAGATGGACCATGAATGTTTATCTAAAAAGATTAATTAAATTCAACTTTAGCTTATATTGGGCTCTATGATTCACAATTCAAAACAGTAGGAAGACTATTGATGAAATATGTGCATTTTAGCCATGACTAAAATATAACGAAACCTATTGGCCAAATTATTTGGTTAGAGGGCTTTGGTCATAACTGTTTTTGTGGAGCATATTGGTCAAACCATATGGATAGAAGACTCGGGCCACGACCTCATCAGTGTGAGATTGTTTTAAGTAAATACAATAGTATACTTAATATGTCATTAGCTTATTATGAACTTGGGTTAACTTTAAATTTGTCATCATCTACAGTCGGTTGTGGAAGGCGAATATAATTTGCTTTAAACCTTTGATGATTAATTTCATTTGATCATTTTTAAATTTTGTAAATTTTTAATGAAAATTTTCATTTTTAAGATTTGAAAGCATCTGCCATTGAGAATTTCATTCAAGACAATTATCATCGTAGATATTAGATAGTTTTGAACCGTGTTATCTTTATCTTGCTTACATAGGACCAAATTCATAACTTATATTAATTTGTTTGAGTTTTTCAAATAATCTTAGAGTTTAGTTTTAAAAATAAATCCATTTGATTGAAATTTACAATCACCATGACCATTATTTGAATAAATTATTTGATCATTTATATTCACAATTTAGTCAAATTTATTACTTGGATATCAGTAGGGTGTTAGTCCTGTCAATCCGTGTCCTTGTAAGGAGGAAGGTTAGATTGGCTTAGATGGGCTCTTAACTTTGTCTCCCGTCTTTATAAAAGGAGGATTGTATTGATTAAGTGAGACTTAAATTTTACTTTATTGATAAGGCAGTCTGCTCGAGAGCTTGTATAACTTGACATTTTAATCTAATTTCTGAAAAAAAAAGAGATGTTGCAACATTCAGATTATATGCACACATTTAAGAATTGTTGCACGCTTCTCGATGACACTTTTAAATTGATTTTATTTTTTCTCAACCCAAGTTATATAATTTAGTTTTCAATAAATTAGTCAGAGCATATGCCGACACTTAGGGTTTATTTGAAGCTAGCCCCTACAATATTCTCATATCTTATAATTCACATTTAGTGTGTTAGTCAGAGCACATGTGAGATTTTAGAGTTTACTTTAAGATAGCCCAAACAACATTCTCAAACCTTATGTTTGCACATTTATTACATTGGACGGAACATATGCAACTTTTTAGAATTTAAGTAAGTTCGCACAAAATTCTCATGCCTAATGATTGTGCGTTCAATGTATTAGTCGGATCACATTGATGTATTTTTAAACTTAATGAATTTGAATACATTTTAGAAAATTTGCATTCTTTTAAAGATAACTTGCTCCTCATTCGAAACAATATATTTAAATTGAAGGGTGCCTCGTGAAGCATGCACAAGACCTAAAGTTAATCAAATTTTAATTATCTGCTTAAACACTCTAATGTTTGCAAAGCTTTATTTTGAACTACTTAAAAAGACTTTCCGTCTGCTTTTAATTTTGTGTTTTGTATTCAGTGACGAGTAGACAATCTAGATTTTGATTGTTTGTTCAAAACATTGTATTTTGTTTCTTGCACCTGGCCTTCAATTTATTGAATTCTTAAGCATTTGATGATATAATTTGTGCTCAATAACAAGCTTTTGAATTTTTGTGAGTGTAATATGTTCAATTTTATTATTGCTTGCAAATGAACTTTTGATTTCTCTATTCATCCAGCTCTATGCTCTTTTCATCTTAGTCAGTATGAGATATTGAGTGATCCCAGTATTCACAAAGGTTTTGATAATGCTCGTAAATGAACAACTGCGTTTATTGCGAGTTTTATTCACACTTTTTCAACTTCATAAAAATGTTTTTAGGTTCTATTCAAGCTTCCTTTCTATTGAAAATTTAGCATCGTTCTAATGCATGGGGCTGCATCGAGAAAGTTGGGCCTGCCTACTATGCTGCATAAAACATATATAGGTGGTATAAACACCCCAACCAATAGTGTCATTTCCCATAATGCTACCAAAAATGTGTTTTGGTCTTCAAACCTATATTATAAGATGTGTAAATATAGATTTCTCCATCACGTTGGAACACAACACTCGAGTGCCTATAATTATATTTTTTATATTATTTCTAAATAAGATTCTATTTTTTGTTCAATCAATTTGCTCGAGATTTTTGAGTCTGAATTTCAGTGGTCTCTCGGCGTCATCCTCATGTAGGGTGTTGTTTCGGAAAAGTTAGGCTTGTTCATTGCGCTATGAGAAGCACATATGGGTTATATGAACACTACAGCATGTCCTTCGTGCCGCACAACACTACGAAAAAATGTGTATGTATAACGTGCAAAAAAATTGCACTAGTTTTCTCACCATGCTACACAAAACATGTTTAATTACTTATGATGTATCTAGCTGTGCTACAAAAAGGTCTTACATGGCTTATATGTTGTATCACGAAACGTTGCATACGTGTTTCACTCTACTAAGGTATGAAAACATGTACAGGGTCCCACTAATCACAAAACGTTGCATACGTGTTTCACTCTACTAATGTATGACAAAACATGTACAAGGTCCCACTTATCTTGTCAAACACGTCTCAATTGGGATATGAGGAGTTTAGAGTTGCAACTTTTTTATAATTTTGTGCACGAAGCATGTGGAGAGTCTTCTGCTCTCAATTTGGCACCAAGGGAGGGCACCAAATCTAGGTGGCAGGGCTGAGCGGTGGAGGCGGCCTCAGGTAATTAGGGATTAGCAAATGGGTGTGCCTTGTGTGCAAATTAGTTATGAAAATAAAGTGGGGAGTAAGCTGCTGCCATGGTTCGGGTTGGGTCACTTGGGTTGGGCCTGAACTTGGAATGACGGCAGGGAGGAAGATAAATTGGCTGGTGAGCTTGGCTTGGGCCATGGAGGGCTTGGGCCATGAGTTTGAGCTTGAAACTCCATTGGTAAGGGCTCGGGTTGGCTCAGTGTTTGGGTTTTGTTTGATGGGTTTGGGCTAGGTTGGCAACAAGTTGAAGCTTGAATTGAATGAGATTGAGCTTGGGTTAGGGTTTCTTGAGTGGCTTAAGCTTTAGGTTTGAGCTCACGGGTAAGTTTGAAAGAGGTTTGTATTGAAGGTAAGGTATGGTTTAGGTTGAATGTGGATTTGGTTTAGGCTTGATTTGCATTGTTTTTGGTATGGGTTTAGGGTGTGATTTGGATTAGGATTTGGACTTGAATTGATTATGGATTTGATGATTAAGTTTGTGATGTAATCTAGGTTTGATTTGGGTTAGGATTTGGGCTTAAGCTTGAGTGTGGCTCAGCGTGGCTTTATATAGGATTTTGGTTTAGATTTGGGTGTTGAGTTGTGATTGATTGGTTTAGTAATTTTGCATTTGAGCTTGAATGAGTTTTAGAATTGGATTTATTGCATTTTAGGTTTGATTTGAATTGTGTCAGTGTTTAGTTTAGGCGTGTGAATTTGAGTGTATTTAGGTGTAGATTTGAATTGGAATTTAGGTTTGTTTTAAATTGGATTCGTTTATGGGGTTTAGACTTGGATTTTTATGTTTATGATTTGAATTTTAAGTATGGATTTGAGATTTAAGTTTGGATTTAAGCTTTGGTTTGGATTATGTTTGGGTTGAAATTTGGTTTAAATTTGAATTTTTGAATTTTGGGTTTGGAATTTGAATTTTAGGCTTTATTTTATTTCAATTTGTTTTTTTTCATGGGTTTAATATGCTTTCTTCCAAAGTTTTTCAACTTTTTAAAAAATGTGTTTGAATTTTAAAGGTAGTGAATTTGATTTTGATTTGGAGAAATTTGATTTTATCTTTGTTTATAATTTTTAGATTTAGCTCACTGGTGGTTCAAAATCAACATTAAACTAATTGTACGTATTTTAAACCAAAAGAAACAGCTAGGGAGGAGGTCCAAAGTGCTTACGTGTGCTCTACATGGTTTTCCCAAAATTGACTAGGCAAAGGGGCAAGTCTAACCAACTTAGTCCTTGGAGTGAGCTAAGGATCAAGGGGTCAAGTCTGTAGGCTCAATAGGTCAACTAAATGCATATCAGAAGTCTTAAAGGGTACTCAACTTTTGGTTTTATAAACCTAATTATGATCAAGTCAACATCAGACAATGCATTAAAGATTAGAGCCAAGTATATTTTAATTTAAAGGGAGTAAATATTTGATTTATGTTCTAAATATAGGTTTTAACCATCCACTAGTCTGCTAGGGTAGCCTCTAAGGAAATCCTAAGGCTAGATTCTAGGCTCCAAGAGGTGTGAGAAAGGAGAGAAGGGAGACCTTGCCAAAATTGAGGTCAATTGTGATCTTAATAATTAGCCATTAAATTTACTAGATAATACAGTAATATTTTTATAGATAAATTTTAATAATTTTGATAAATTATACTAAATCCTAGGTATATAATCAATGATATAATTTTTAGAGTTATTGTTGGATGGTTAAAAGAACAATCTGTGACGCTAAAAATTCTGCTTTTAGTGAACTTTATAATAGATTAGATATTAAGGAGAATGAAAAATATATGTATAAACTAGCCAAACAAGGAGAAAAGAAATGTAAAGATTTAACTCAAGTAAAGTGTATTCAAGATGAAAATCAAAAAGTACTTTTTTTAGAAAAAGATATTCAACATAGGTAGGTGAGTTACTTTGATAAACTTTTTAATGAAATTTCTGAAAATACGATTGACCTCAGTGACCTTAATATCGTGAATAATAATAAAACGTTTCATTTTTACCGTCGCATTAGCAAAAAAGAAGTTGAGGAGGTTTTAAAAAAAACAAAGTGTGGAAATTCTGTAGGATCTGATGATATCCCAGTTGAAGTGTGGAAATATTTGGGAGTTTCTTGGCTTACTAGACTCTTTAATATTATTTTAAAAACTAAAAAGATGTCTGAGGAGTGGAGGAAAAGTATTTTGGTACCCTATTTTTAAGAATAAAGGGGATGCACAAGAGTGCGCAAGTTATAGAGGAATTAAGTTGATGTGTCATACTTTAAAATTATGGGAGAGGGTAATTGAACATAGGTTAAGACGCATCACAAAAATTTCTCATAATCAATTTGGATTTATGTCGGGCAGGTGTACTATGGAAGCTATACATTTATTGAGAGGTTTGTTGGAGAAGTTCAGAGATGATAAGGAGAATCTACATTTGATTTTTATTGATTTAGAAAAAGCTTACGATAAGGTTCCAAGAGATATCCTTTGGAGAATTCTCGAAAAGAAAGGTGCTGATATGACTTATATTCAAGTCATTAAAGATATGTATACTAGAGCTTTTACTTGTGTTCAAACTGAAGGAGGATTGACAAAATGTTTTCCTATTTCGGTTGGATTACATCAGGGATCTGCTTTAAGCCCTTATCTTTTTGCTTTAGTTATGGATGGTCTTACTGGACATCTACAGGAGAGTGTACCTTGGTGTATGCTTTTTGCTAATGATATCCTTCTCGTGGATAAAACGAGAGAAAAAACCCAGGAAAAACTTGAATTATGGAGGTCTACATTTGAGTCTAAAGACCTTCGTTTAAGTAGAACTAAAACTGAATACATGGAATGTAATTTTAGTAGTAATAGCTCTAGTGACAGAAGTGTGACTTTGGGTGATCAAATTATTAAAAGGTGTGAACGATTTAGATATCTTGGGTCCGTTGTCCAAAGCGATGGTGATATAGATGGGGATGTTAATAGTAGAATTCAAGTTGGTTGGTTGAAGTGGAGGAATGCTTCGGGCCTTTTGTGTGATAGAAAAGTACCGCTAAGACTGAAAGGAAAATTTTATAAGACGGTGGTGAGACCTGCAATGCTCTATGGCGCTGAATGTTGGCCTTTAAAAGAGAAGCATAATAATAAGTTAAGTGTTGCCGAGATAAGAATGATTAGGTGGATGAGTGGCTTTACACTTAGAGACAAAATGCGGAATGAATATATTCATGATAGGGTTGGTGTAGCTCCTGTGACAGACAAAATTAGAGAAAGTCGCCTTAGATGGTTTGGTCATATTAAACGTCGACCATTAGATGATCCGATTAGGAGAGTAGATGTTTTAAATTCGACTTGTGTTAAGAAAGGCAGAGGTAGACCTAGGAAGACTTGGGCTTATTGTATTAAAAATGATCTTAATTTACTAGAAATAAATGAAAATATGACACTAAATAGGACGCAATGGAGAAAAAGGATTCATGTAGCCGACCCCACGTAGTGGGATTAAGGCTTTGTTGTTGTTGTTGTTGTATTGCTGGATGGTTAAAATAAAAATTTTTCTCATAAGTATTATAAAATAAGGACTCATAGAGACTTGAAGGCAAAAGTTTTATAAATTTGCAATTGAGCTAATGCTGTTATATGGATTGAGTGTTGGGCGGTAAAAAAATCGTTAATAGCTAAGTTGAATGTGATGAAAATTGGAAGGTTAGCATGGATGGATGGAAAAACAAAGAAGGATAAATAAAGGATTATATTAGGCGAATGGTTGGTGCGATATTTATTGAAGATAAAATAATTTGAAGTAGATTTAGATAAGTTGAATGTATAGAGTGGAGGGTAAAGATACCCACATCAAACTGATAGATAAGATAATGCTGGAAGATTAGGAATGATCTGTGGTAGACCTAAGCTAATATTGGTACATGTTGTTTAAAATATTTGTGAATAATAAAGTTAATTTTATAAATATCACTCAATTAGAATGAATGATGATGATGAATTTCCATAGTGATTTGGCAACAAATTTAATAAATTTGATCCATGTATCAACAAAATGCCTTTGGCATCCGTTTAAAACTCCCTTTTATTGTTATCATAATAAACATAAGCTCTTCGACTCATAACCTTATATAATCCTTTTTTTTCTCACCTAGATGTTTTTTATTTTAATTTTAATAATAAAGCTTTCTATATTGGTGCATTTACATACATACTAGCCAATTCCTGTGTGTTTACATATCTAACACTTATAGTTTCTTCATTTATATCACCCAATTCTTTCATATCACATCGCAAATGCCATCATTTAACTTTATAAAGTGAAATTCAAATTTGCATGCATAGGTCAGGTGATATGCATGTAAACATTTGAAGTTTAGGTGTTAATTATATGTAAATATATTGGAATTGAGTGGTATGTCTGTAAATCATCCTATATCTTACGCATGATCTCATTACTTAAACCATGTTATACTCCATAAACGTTGAAGGCATTCATTAAAAATATTTAGGTCGGCCATCTCGGGAAAGCTTATCAAGAATGGGTTCACCAACCCATTATCAGCAAAGAAAGCCCACGTTTTTTCCAAAATAACATTCTGGAGGTAACCATTTTGTCTCCTTTTTGTCAGCAATGTATGGTCTTTTCAGCGATTTTAACTTCATTGCATTTCAATTAGCAGTTCTTAACACGAACGGTATGGTGGGCGGTTCCTACGATTTGGCTTCCAGTTGTTTGCTGGTTCGTGTTGACATCCTTCCGCATGGATCAATCTTTACCTGCAATTGCTCTACAGATGTTGGGTGGAATATTTCTTTGGACATTCATCGAATACTGTTTGCACCGATTTCTCTTTCACATTAAGACAGAAAGTTACTGGTTAGTGATCTTTATTTGTTTGCTATAAAATGTGAGACTAACTTATAATACCGGTAACATGTCAAAATAGTCTTTTTTAATCGGAAAGTTTATAAAATTTTCAAATTAGTCCTCTATAATCTACATTTTAAATCTGGATTTTTACCTCATATTAAAAGATATATAGTCTAGGGCTACAATGATCCCATGTAAAAAGTCGGGTCTATTTTGACACTTTTCTCCTCTTAGAGTATTATCTTCATAGGCCGTAATCCAAATAACGAAGGTATCTTCACTCATCGACATGACTTTGCAGGGCAAACACAGCACATTATCTGCTCCATGGATGCCATCATAAGCACCCCATGGATGGTCTCCGCCTTGTTTTCCCTCCTGCTGCAGCAGCTATTCTTTGTTTTCCAGTAAGTCTGTTTTACTTTATAATATCATTTCAATATTTGATGTGTTTGCATGTGCATGATATTTAACTTATAAGCATTTAGATTGAGAAAGTACCTCAAACCCTGTAACTATCTCGAAGTATAAACATAAGATTTGAGAATGAGACTCGATCATATAAACTAAGAAATGTATGACGTCCGTTTTGTCTGTGAAATAATTTTATTTACTAACAATTTCCTCAATTTGATATGATGAAGGTCGGGCGAAAGATATTGAGAGAAAAGAGAGGAAAGAGGGAATATTGGAATATTTTTTTAAATTCATGATTCCATAATCTAATTAACATTACATCAATCTCTATTTATATAGGTTAAGTTAACATTGAATTAATTTTAAATCTACATAACTTTTCAAAATCATATCAAGTAATTTAATCAAAGATAAACCTAACCATTAAATAAATAGAGCAAAAGTAAATTATAAAATAATTCAAAATACTATAATTAATTAAAGATATATTCTTTTTCTTATTCTGCATCAAATTCCTTGGAGCCAACTGAAATCTTTTCCTAAAGAGATCTGTAGAAGCCCTTTCCTGAAATTCTAATCTCCATTTTATGTGGTGGGGGTGGGGGAATTAATTAAAATCTTGACAGCTCCTAAAAATTCAGTGTGATTTTGATAAAAAACATTCCAATTAATTAAATAAAATAAGTAACTCCTTAACTAATTCAACTTATTAGAATCATAGATATAACTTCCTTTTGTTGCATCGAAGTGATGTATAGGGTTGTTGTCTGCCTAACATGAATGTCTACATCACCATCTCTTTTGCTCTCTTACACCCTCATTCTCCATTGACACCGATTGCTCAACCTCGCCACTCCACGCAGTTTTTCGGTCTCGCCAAACTTCTAACAACTTCAGCGGCGGCGGCGTTTGCTCTCTTCGGGGGTGGCTTGCTCGGCTACGTCATGTATGATTGCATTCATTACTATCTCCATCATGGAAATCCATCGAATAACCAAGCGAAATATCTTAAGGTGAGAAATATGAGCATCTATGCTCAAACTTCTTTATCAATATTGTGTTAATGAAACAAAAATCTAAGTTTTAGTTCATGTTGCCAGCGTTATCATATGAACCATCACTTCAGAATTCAAAAGTTGGGATTTGGGATCACTTCTTCACTCTGGGATGTCATATTTGGGACTCTGCCGCCTGCACCGAAAGCTTCTCAGAAGAGTAATTGATTCTCTCCATCTTTAGTTCGGTTTGAAAATTTGCTGTAATTAATTGAAGGTTGGGGTTTTTGAGAACATGAAATTTACCTTTTGTGCCACTGAGTTGGCATTGAATATTCTGATGTTTTAAGCAGGTTTTCTTTCTTGGGAAGGATGTAATAATGAGATTTTTTGTGGATCCATAATTATTTGCGGCTAGAGCTTGAGCGGAGCTTAGGCTTTGCGCATTCGATTCGTTCGAAATTAATTTTATTTGAAAATGGCTCGTGTTGGAACTTGCTCGTGAACAATGTGTTCATGTTCGGTTTGATTTATATATATTTGTGCATGTTAGGTTTGCGTTTAACTTGAAATTGACACGTTAAATTAACTAAAAAAATAGGTATATGGTGTTGTATTTGAATCCATGCCATTTCTATACAATGAAACACTCATAATCATATGATCACATAAGCTGTTGTGATTTAAATTTAGATATAAATGTAAACTCTCTCAGACATAATTCTCTTGCGTTTAAATCCTTTTTTTCTTGCAAGCTCATATTCCAAGCATCAATATTATTTATTTACATATTATTAAGTCATAAAATTTAAAAAAAAATTATATTTTTTAATTCAAAATAGCAAAAGAGCTCTATTTTGAAAAATTATATGTTTTTAAAAACTTCATAATGTTATAAAATTTTATAAATTATTTTAAATACTATCTTTTTTATTCTCATACCTCCTTTCATTTGGTGATATTAATGCAAAAGAAACTAATTATTTTTCAACTATTTATAATTCTTCCAATATGAAATATAATAAATTATAGCATTATTTGAATGTCAAAGCATCCAAATGGTTGAATCATACACTTCATAAGTAACTTGAGGTATCAAAAGATAAATTCTTGATATTTATAAGCAAAAAGCAACTCTCTAATTTCAATAAGGTGAGCTCTACAATTTGTTTCTATATAGTCCCTTTATAGACTCATCTTCTCACGCGGTGTAAAGATATAAAATGGAGTTAAATTCTTAAACATCGATTCACTCTTTTGATGTAATAAGTGATATTTCTTTCGAAATCAAACATTAAGCGACGTCTTGAGAAAAACAAAGCTAAGCTCTTAAACGTCAAGACGCTTTTTGTTATAACAAATTAAATTTCATGAGAAACTTCAAATTTATGCTTCCTATTACAATACCATGTTTAGAATGAGTGACTTTCTTAGAAGTTACATAGGCCGAACAGAACCACAACTCGATGAGTGAAAGACTGAAAGTTCAAGCTGTTACAAAAAAAAAAAAAAAAATCAAATATCTTTATAACAATTGCATGGAAAGGTGTGAAGAAACTAAACAAAATATTTTCATATCATTTTTATGAGTGAATTTAAAATGATTATTACTATAAACCCATCAAAACAATTTTTAAATGCATTTGCCATTCGATATAAAAACATGCCATATATCTTCATGTTCTTACATTTTAGTATAGATGTATGTGGTTTTTCTTCTTAGAATTATCAAGCAATTAATGTTTGTATTTTCTATTAGATTATTTTATATACAATCAAGAATGAAATGAGACAAACAAATAAATTGTTTTTAGATTAAACTTTTTATTTATTAAATAGATGCTGAGAGGAGCATAATATTAAAATTTCTCAAATAATTATATTTTAGAAAATAATTCAAAATTTGTTTTCCTTAGGATGAAAGTGAATGTTAATTAACTCCCGTATTGTGCAGTGCTACCGTGCCCCGTGCCGTGGTCTAATAGCACACCTAAGCCCGTATAGGTGCCCCCACGCCGATAACTGCAGCAATCCCTCACCCGTATAGACGCTTCCGTGCCGCTGATTGCAGATTACTTTCAAAACTGAATGTTTCAACCTGAAAAACTATTTCCGAAACTTCAACTTTTAAACTGCAGATTTTCCACAATAACTTGAATACAAAAATTTCATGCAACTTTAGTGAAGCTACGAACTAGGATTCAATAAATTTTATAGAGGTTAAATTCTAGAACTTATTTTATATGATAAATATAAAATTTAATTAATTTTTTTAGTGTTAATTTACTCAAGTTATAATTAGCTAACATTAATATACTTAATAATAAATGATTAATACTAAAAATTTCTAGTGCTATGCATGTAATTGCCCTTAATTAATATTAATCAATACAATGCTCTAGCTAATTTGGTGGTTTTATTTAATACCTGTCTTTCTTCCCCAAATACCTAACAAGGCAACGGCTGGACCAGCGACGTGTGAAGAAAGAAGGGAAGAACCGGCTTAAATCCTTCCTAAATCCTGCTACAAAAACAGGCACAGCCCATTAGGTTTTAAGCCGAATCAAAACCTCCACGGCCGTAAAATCAATCCGCCGCCATACCTAATCTACTTCCCTTCACAGAATTGTAATGCTCGTTGAGGTTCAATGCCCAGCATAACCCTCTAAACCCTTTAACCTAGTTCTTACAAAACCCTAGATACTCGCCGATCTTTTCAGCCATGGCGGAGGATGTGCAACACAGTTATCCTAATACTTGTTGTGCCCTGGTAAGATTCATTTTTTTTCCGGAATCCATTGTTTATCATTTGGATCTTTTTTATTTTAATTTTGAATTTAAGTTCGGTATTCTTCGTTTGGGTTGGTTTCAGTGGATAAAGAGGTCCCAGAAGCTGGAAAAGAGCAGGGATGCTTTAAGGCAAAGCGTGAAGATCTTAGAGGCACAAATAGAGAAGCAAAGCGTTGAGATTGCTGCTCTTAAAAAAGGTTTGGAAAAGTTATAAGCTTTATTCTAGGAAGGTTCCCTTTATTGACGTGTAGTTTGTATAAACTTTTAAAATCAATTTTCAAGGTTTTGACGTTGCAGATGCTTGAAAAGATTAAAATGTAGTATAGAGCAAGGCTTCAATGTTGGGCAGTTCGACCCTTTTTGAAGACATCCTGTTATTGTCGTTTGATTAGGGTTTTTCCATGATAACTATCGCTGCATTAACTTGTTAGATTGTGATTTTTTTGGTATAATTTTAGTATATATCAAGAAAAAATTGAAGTACCACGATCAATGAATTATGGGTAATGCTGTAGGAGAGTGTCGAAATCAATTTATTAGTTTTAGATTTTAAGATTAAGAGTTGTAAAATAAAAAATACTAGGACTTATCGTTGCAGAATTAGATGGAGAAACTTAAAAGATACAAATAAAATTATTTTTTATGAGTAAAATTCAAGATTTCAAAATTTGGGCAAGAAACAAATGTGATGTGGGATAAAGTAACAAACGCTATTAAACAAGTAGCAAAAGATGTTCTTGGAGAATCAAAAAGAAAAATATTTACAAATAAAATTAGTTGATGGTGGAATAATAATGTGCAAGAAAAGATAAAATATAAGAAGTTATGTTATAAAAATTGGTTTAAATGTAAAAGCTTAGAGATCTGGAGAAAATATCAAACGGCCCGCAGGGAGTCTAAAAGAACAATCTGCGACGCTAAAAATTATGCTTTTAATGATCTTTATAATAGATTAGATACTAAGGAGGGTGAAAAATATATGTATAAACTAGCCAAGCAAAGAGAAAAGAAAAGTAAAGATTTAACTCAAGTAAAGTGTATTAAAGATGAAAATCAAAAAGTACTTTTCTTTAGAAAAAGATATTCAACATAGGTGAGTGAGTTACTTTGATAA